CTATGAACTGCATGATACTCCTGCCAAGAATTTACTTAACACGATTGAGACTAGCAATCTCCACTACTTATAAATATAAGTTCATAACGATTAGGTGAAATTCCCTTATATTCTAGCATCAAATCCCTGCATGCAAACTAAGTATGCATCCTTAATAAACACACAACAACAAGTTTCTCAATAATGCAGATAAGTAAATCACATTCATGTTTTACAAAACAATAATTGCAGGTAATCAATTCATATAAAACATATGTCCATGGCGTCGAATTCACCTCTAACTAAAAAGGAATTAGTTCCTCATGTTCATAATAATTGAAAAGCAAAGTAAAATAAACATGGAAACAAAACGAGGGAAGCAAGAACTCTGAAAGTCTTCAATGGTTGCAGGTGGCTTGTGGCACAACCCTCATCTTCTCTAATGGAAGCCACGACACAGTCTTCTCTCTTACAATGGAAGCCACGCCAAATTCTTATTTTCTCCAAGGCTACGGCCCAAGGTATGAAATTTTGATTTTAGGCTCTTATGTGTGTGTTGTGAAAATAGAGTTAGAATTATGTATTTATAGGCTAGGGTTTGCGGCGCCAACTCCTTGGAGGACAAGGATAGGGCACAGCCCAATTCAAGAGGGAAAATGATTAGGGTTCTGGCAGATTTTAGAACTTCTAGAAAAGGAGGGTGCGGCACCCTTTTAGGGATTCTAGAAAGAATGTGTTGTGGCAGATTCCTAAGCTTCTAGTAGAGGGAAGAGGCGCCACCTTTCTAGGGGTTCTAGAAAGGGTGGTGAGGCATATGTGTATGGCTTCTAGAAGGACAAGGGGGAAGGGTGAGGCACCCTTTTAGGAGCAGATAAGACTTATAGAAATCAGGTGTTTAGGTCCCCTTGCAGCTGGATTTAAGGTAAAAAAAATAGGATAAGGTTAGTTTGGATAAGGTTGGTTATGATAAGGTTCCTTCCTTTTTGCACTCCTTGACTTTAGTTAATTCCTTATCTTCCAAGTCTTGAATTAATTTATCCATCTCTTGAGCATATTCCTAGCCTCATTTGATCTTAAAAAACGTCCATTCCTTATGCTCCAAATGCATGCAATCCATTCCAGCCCAAAATTGCTCTAAAATGCTCCAAAATGCACTTTCTTGCCAACTTTGCCAATTAGACCTACAAACATACGAAAATAGCTTAAAATACTAAAATAACTAGGAACTAACAACATAAATCCAAGAAAACAAGCTAACTAAGTCGCATAAATATGCTCCTATCAAATTCCCCCACACTTAGCTTTTGCTAGTCCTTGAACAAAACAAAACAAATAGAACATAACCTAAACATTCCAACATTTGCCTCAGGGATTTCCAATGGATCATGACATGTTAAAAATCACTACTCACATAGATTTTAGCCATCCTTACCCTCGAACATATACTTAATCGCAATCACCACTCACTAGCTCGCATTTAATCAATTTAAAACACATGGTTTCGATGGGTAGTAACATGCATGCCTTAGAGAATTCCCTCAATTCCTCACTGGATACACTCTATTTTCACACAAATTTTCTGACTACACTCCCTATACTAGGTGTATGTGAGAAGATTGATGTAAACATGTAGACTAGCCACTCACATATGTTATAATCAAAGAAGACACTTTCTGGAATTATTAATGCATGTATGTATATGATCTCATGAACGGAATGCCACTACTTAGACGTAAGAACCAGGGATTCCATATGCTCATACCAATTTCAAACTCCACATATTGAAACACACAACAACCAAGATAAAAGTCTAAGGGTTGTAATAGGGCTAAGGTTTTAACAAAGAAATGTTAAGGATAAACAAAGATTCTTAAAGCCATAGTAAGCAAAAATAATGAAATTGACACTTAGAATTCACTTTTGAATGCAACAACGAACTTTAAACTGAAGGAAATTTTGTGAAAAACATGTTCATTTGAGCAACATCTATGGCATGCAATTAACATTTAAAGGCGGAATCATCTTGTATGCACTCAAAAACAAAACATTACCCATGAAATTCAAAGCCTAGTAGAAAGGTAAACCAATACTCAACTGAAGAACATAGTGAGTTGAGATATTTTATATCTTTGTTGATTCCTCTTTGCATAAGCAAAGGCTAATCACCCAAGGAGAGGGCCTTCATTCCTTGCTTCTTAGTTCCATCGATTTCTTGGAGGAGGATGGTAGAAAGGATTCTCCAAGTTCCCAAAGTTGAGAACCTCTAATTTTCCACACCAAGGAGGGACATGAAGAAGAGATGAGTGACCTTGGAGGATGAGAGATTGCTAGCTAATCTCCTCCAAGGGGGCCGGCCTCTTAGAGAGAAAGGGAGAGACATGTTCTCTCCAATTTTCTCCAAAAGAAACCCTAATGAAGAAAAGGCTATAAAGTCATATTTATACCTACCTTCATTGGAGTGGCAAACTTGTAATAAGTCCAAAATCCACTCCTTTATCAATATGGCCGGCCATAGGGTGTTATTGGGTTGTTTGGGCCTTTGTGAATATTTAGTCATTAAGTTGTCATACAATTTAAGTCAATGGGCTTGACGTTCGAAGCCCATTGGGCCTTGAGGCCCAAAACTAACCCGAGGTCTTTAACGAACTTTATTCGTTTGATTAATTAACATATTAATTAATCATTGCCATAAATAATTAAACCATTTAATTATCCTTACTCATCTCTGTTGTTTCTTCAATCTCTCTACCTTACACGGTGTACGATCCATTAGGTTCCTTTTAGCGAGGCAGTGGGCGATTAGAACTCTTTCAAATCGATTGTGAATTGAAACTTACTTTCAATTCTCCCTTTAGTGATTATACACGTTTAGGGCTTCCACAAACCATGAGTGACACCTAGCAGTATGTCATGGTTACCCAAGCTAATCAGAAGAGGTGGAGAACCTATTCAGTTTAGGATTACAATGCAATACGGTCTTTCTCTAATACAATACTCTTAACCACATTGTTTGGTTTGATAGTTTATTCATGTCTACTATCCAATGTGATTCTTTTACTTATATGATTACCTTGAATGTGATTTGGAACGACTTCCTAAATCTTATTCATACTCTGGCTAGAGATTCTTAATCATATCATAGAGTATTCTCCCTCAAACAGTTTGAAGGTTAGAGATCCCTTGTTGCGCATTCACTTGCCTCCATGGCTAAGTGGCTTAACCCCAACTATGCCCTAGACACCCTCTGACGGAGTGACTTTGACATAGTCAAATATGAAGGACCTAACCACAAGACAACTATGATGCCTCAGGTCAAAGGACTACTTTGCATTATCCCAACCATGAGTTCTCATGTGACATGAGTATGAGAACTCCTCGTTGATCGTGTTCAGTGGACTCATTCTCTATTGAGTACCTACATGCTTGTCTTGGTGTCAATCACACCAATGACTCGAGACTAGTCACTTTCCCTAAGAAAAGACATAGCATGTACTGATCTTAACGGACTGTTAATGCCCAATTGGCAATCCAATGATTAGGAACGTTTAGGATATGTATACGAAAGAGAATGGTCTCATGAATCTAACTTGTTTAAATTACATTCTCCTAATTACATATTCCTTGGACTTATCGTTTAAGCATATAACATTTATATGAGACGGCTTAAAACAATAATCTTTGCCCTTGATATTAAACTAGATTAGTTTAACATGTGAAATGTCCGTAAAGTATCATCATATGATTGGTTTTAGGGCACATTTCCAACATAAACACAAGGGGAAGATTCACAAAACACTTAGGGCCAGATTCAAACTTTTGGACCCTTTCTTCAACAACCAATACTTGTGAGTTCATTCTCACTTATTTTGAACTTTTTCTTCTTTCTTTTATTTTCTTTTCACGTTTTTTTTCTCTCTTTTTCTTTTTTTTTTGTTGGAAATAACCTTCCCCCACACTTGTTTTCTGAAATATGTTTGATCAAAAGGAATTCCCTCTAAGTCATGCTCCACTATACTTTAAGAACAAGGGTATGGATAGTCCTATTCTAGGCTAGGTAGGGATAATATGGCTAACAAAGAAAATAGGCTAAATAAGGCTCAAAGGGGTAAAACCTACAAAACATATGTAAAGGATTAAGGCTTTTTGGCTCTGGTGGTAACATTAACAACTTCATCTTGTTATATGTTATGCACTCAATTTTAAGCTTTGAATGAAACGGGCATGAGTTCTAGTATTTGGAACTAAAATGATAAAACGCATTCTAAGTAGCAACCAAGCAAAGAATAATGAGATCATGCAACGACTTTAGAAAACAAGAAATCATAGATTAATAACTCTCCAAACAAAGTTTAGGCTTAAGTCTCTCAGGGTTGTAGAGTTAGTTTGAGTTCCTTCCTTTAAGCATGTTACAAAAACTGATTTTTTTCATTTATGATTACATGTGAATTCGTTAATGACAACTACAACCAAGTATTAACCAAAGAGCATATCAAACTTCCACCCATGTTTGTAATTTTCTTTAACAGTCATGCAATTAAAAACCAAATCTTCATCATTGTGTTGGAAGGTACTCTAAGACACAAACACACAAAAACGACTCAAAAATGACTCTTTTTGGGTTTTTCAAAACTTTTTCTAATTTTTTTCAAATTTTCGTATTTTTTCTTTCAAAACACATTAAAACACTTCAAAACACACTAAAAACACTTCAAAACAATGAAAAACAACTCTAGTGGTGCTAGGTGGTAAAATCCCACGAAAATCATGCAATAACAGCTTGTTTACCCCCCCATACTTAAACCAAACATTGTCCTCAATGTTTCAAACATAAACTCCCACGCAAACAATCAAAACAACTAACAAACACGACAATCATGGCAAAGTAAAAGTAATAAAGAGAACGGTTAAGACCGTAAATCTGGTTGCTAGAGCTAGCATTCCATCATGCCCTCATTTGAACACATGGGTTGCCTCCCAAGAAACGCTTGCTTTAACGTTTTCCAGCCAAACGATACCTCTATTTAAGCTTCAATAGGGCCAACGACATGGAGGGGTATGTCCTTCACGGCATGCTCCTCAAAAGTCTCGTAGTAGGGCTTTAAACGGTGTCCATTAACTTTGAATTCATGTCCCTTCTTCAAACTTTGAATTTGGACTGCACCATCAGAAAAAAACATTAGTAACAACAAAAGGATCAATCTATTTAGAACGCAACTTACCCAGAAACAAACGAAGGTTAGAATTGAAAAGTAACACTTTTTGCCATATAGAGAATGTTTTGCCACGAATCTTGTCATGGGCCGCCTTTGTTTTCTCCTTGTAAATGTGAGTGTTTTCATAAGCCTCATTCCGAATCTCTTCAAGCTCATTCAATTGAAGCTTCCTATGAATTCCAGCGGCATCAATGTCCATATTGAATGTTTTGACTGCCCAATGTGCGTGATGCTCTAACTCAACGGGAAGATGACATGGTTTCCCATTGATGAGCCGAAATGGTGACATCCCAATTGGTGTTTTGTAGGCTGTACGATATGCCCATAATGCATCATTCAAACGCAAGCTCCAGTCCTTTCGAGTTGGTCCAACCGTCTTCTCCAAAATTTGCTTGATTTCCCTATTAGAAACCTCGGCTTGCCCACTTGTTTGAGGATGATAAGGTGTTGAAACCTTATGCGTGACATTGTACTTCTTAAGCAGCGGCTCAATGGTTCGATTGCAAAAATGGGAACCCCCCATCACTTATAAGTACTCTTGGCATTTGAAACCTTGCAAATATGTTAGTTTTAACAAAACCTGCAACCACTTTAGAATCATTAGTACGGGTGGCTTTTGCTTTCACCCATTTCGACACATAATCCACAACAAGCAAAATATAAAGGAAACCATGTGAGGAAGGAAAAAGACACATGAA